AAAAAAAAAAAAAAAAAAAAAACACCTTAATATACTTATGTATAGTATATACAGTGGACCAATACAGTTTACATACACTTAGTTCTATTAAATTACGACACGCGTATTTGTTATAATAGTATATCAAAATATATATATTTTTTTTAACAAAAAAAAAATTAATGCTTAAGCTGAAAATGCGCCTAATTTACATCAAAAAAGTTTACGTACACCAATGATAATTTAAATAATTCAAAAGTAATTACGTAAGTTTTAGCAGGTTTGTTGCTATTATTGTCCCTGGACGTCGACGTAAGCTCCCCACTCACTCTAGTATTATTTCCGAATATTTTGACCCACTAAGTCCATGATTCAGCGTTTTGGCCATATTTTGATGAAATCCGATGTTTTCGAACACGACTTTCCAAAAAGATCCAGATATTTTGAATATGATTAATGTATGGTGATTGTGGGACCTATGGAGTTATTTTTAATTCCATAGCAACCCTGCACACACTAGGTGTATGTATACTTTATTGGTCCATGTATGTATGTATGTATTTATATATATGTAGTACATGCGTTTGCTAGGAGTATTTTTTTATTAATTCTGGGCCGTTTATTCCACTCTTGTTTTGAGTTTATAATTAATGTTAAAATTAAATATACTTTATGACTTGTACTGAGTAAAGATAGACATGAACAGATTAAATTGATATTAGTTGTTAATTTAATTTTAATATTGTGCTTATGAAAGTTTTGTTCTGCAACGAACTAGGAGCTTAGACTTTTATATATTACAAAATATTTCATCGACCTACTGATATTTTATGTAGGTATAAAAAGAAAAAATATACTTCTTGTAGTTTCTGCAAATTTTAAAACTAATAAATGGTTTGCCACATATTTCCTTATGAAATAGGCTTCTCTTAACAAACATTAAGGCTTTGTTTTTGACGGAATGTTAGCGTTATTAAGCTTGAGGAGTAATTTTAAGAACTACATTCTTTAAAAACTTTTCTCTGTAGAAGAAAAATTAGTATTAACCAATTAGTTTTACATAAAATTAGGTTACAGCCATAATCCTTATAATGGAGTTATATGTAACGATATAATATTGGCTACTGGTGTTTTTTCATCGAAGGAATTGTGGAGTCTCTCTAAAGGTAGGTTTACAGATTAATATATTTGTATGCAGGAATATACCCGATTTATGTCAAAACATTTAGATATTTCTATATCATGTGTACATATGAGTTAATTAGAAGCTGTGTGAGGAGAAGAACTAAAATTGCAATTTTTTCTATTGCATAGCATCTATTCTTGATGAGGCAAGTAATGTTTTACTATCCACAAATGCTAGTCATATTAAGTTGGAAAATTCCGCCGGAACTTATGAATGCAACACATATCAGTTGCCACCACCATCAATTGGCGTTAGTGTAGATGTCCCTAGTAACTTGGTAGCGACGAATAATATGTTAGCAAACACGGATTCTGGCCGATTAGCTGCCTCCAGCTCTTCTATGATTGTTCCGGCTGGGTACAGTAGTAAGGATTTTGACGAAAAGAAAATACAGTACATATCGGTTATATGCAATTGTTATTACATAAAAAATAGCATAAAGCTATATATAGCGGTATTTGCAAACAAGAGGTATTCGTTTATATGCAAAGTCTATGCACATACGCAGTCATTTCTTTTCTAGTATTATATTTCCAATGTCTTCAAAAGCATGTAAGCATCAATGTTATGAAAAAATCGCAGCGAATCTAAACTCAGCAATACCTTCTTTGTTGAGGGATATTTTATAAAAATATGAGATTGCGTGAACACTTCCTTATGATTACTTAAATTAAAATGGACTGCCAATACGTCCGCAACAAAGTATACACGTTCATTACCGCATTGAATGTATTCGTTATCAAGTTTGCACCATTCATAATTTCTGCCTTCAATAGCTGCAATATCGTCTGTATCTTGAACTTTGTCAATGCCTGCCGAAATGAAATGACTTGGTTTAATGCTACTTTTACCAACTTTAACATAAAATCTACCTTTCTGAAACAATTACTAAATATTTGCTGCAAAATTAATACATTTAACACCGATCAAAATTTGTGGTTAACGAAAAATTGTTTCCATAAATGCGATATTTGAATATAAATGATTTGCATTCGAGCAACCTCATTCATACAAATACAACGTGCGTAATTCGTTGAAATATAAACATTTTCAAATTACCAAAATGTGCACAAAAGCGATTCATCATATAACCGATATCCACTGTAATTTGCTTTTGAAAATTGTGTAATATATTATTTAATTACTTCCGAAAATAGTTGACTTTGTTGATGCACGAAGTATGCATTTGTCGCCATCTCCTCTCTTGCGAACCCAAGGAGCAGCAGCATGTAAAACTGACACGTGTACTTCGCCTGATGTTGGGGGAAGTAACGGCAGTGGTGGTGGTTTTTCTGTGATTTTGCGTCCAAACGATTCAACGGGTGCGAGCATTCAATCAAGCGATATATCAATGCTTCAGCGATATACGCCTTCACTAAACCGCTCATTATTAAATATGAGTCAAGTGCGATCAAGCGAAGGTAAATTTTCAAAATTTGAACTATATGGTAATCAAAAAAGTATTTTCGTATTTCTAATCAAACTTCGACCTAATTTTTTATATTTATAATAATAAATAAATTAACAAATATGTACCATTTTGATCGAAAATTTTTTGTGATTTTTCCGCTAGAGACCATCAGTGTAAAACTTTAATCTGTGTTAATCGTAATTTCGAAATTTCCAGAACGGAAACGAGCGAACCATAGTTGTGCTACACGAGCTGATACAGAATTATCCCCGTAAACTTCATAAATTTCATTGGTGGCTTGCGTGGCATTATTTCCTTTTTTATATAAAAATTTCAAAATATAGCCAATTTCTTCATAATTTCCACTCATTTTTGAACAGTTGTAACTTTTTTTCAACTTCCCCGAATTTAGTTTTTTTTGGCTAAATGAAGCTTAAAGTTCTCCTTTACATATGTATGACACAATGTTATTGGTAGCACAAGAGATATACGACTGCAAAAATACGAAATGACTTTTTCGACTACCCAGTATATACATAAATGTGTAATTTTATTCTGTTTGAAATTCCTTTTAGTATTGATCCAACACAATGTAACATCTGCATTGGTTACAAATTCAGTTAGCCCTGGTGCAATGTACTATCAGTTACATAATAGCTCAAATGGTCCATCAGATTCCAGTGATAGCAGTACTCAGCATAACCATCATCCCCATAGGCAACAATCTCAACACCAGGAACACCAACAAAACTTACATGGTCATGGTTCACAAATTTCAGTAGCTGCGGCAGCGGCTGCAGCAACTGCTGCTGCTTCTATTTCAAAATATTCTTCCGAAGTTGTAAGTGGGCATGATATGTCCGAGTTTGTTACCTATGTTTGCCAAGAAACCGGAAATAGTAATGCTCAAATTAATGAAGTTCATCCCCCACCACATCCTCAAAGTCACTTCCAGTTACAAACGGTTTCTACAGAAGGGCCATCATCTAGCCGTAATCCAAAATTATCCTCCGCAGCGCCGTCCGCACAACCCTCTCATTATCAACAGTACAGTACGATGCTACCTCCGCCACCTTTGCCCCCAATGGCGCGTCCAGTTGCGATAATTAGGTCCACAGGTGGTTTGACGATGGTAGAATCACCACCATTATCTGCAACACCTCCAAACTCCAATCAACCGGGTAAGGAATCATCTAGGCATCAGCAAACACAGCAGGATCACCAAAATCAACATTCAACTCGGTGCCACACGCTATCCCATCCTCAAAATGTCGCAGTGGAGCACGGTGACTCAAGAGGTCAAATCTTGACGGTGAACACATCTAGGAACACTGGTGGAGGTAACGGTAATACTACTTCGGTTTCGAGTACAACAGATGCGCTTACCGTTCCAACTTCCAATATGCAAAAAAACACATCTGCTATTAGTGGTAGCAATAATAGCAGTAGTAGTTCAACTGATATTGTAGTGGCTAGATCGTCACCACCACCACCGATAAGTCCTCAAGAACATATAGATGTTGTACGTAGCACAAAATCCTCGACAATAGGTCGCTTTGGCACCCAGTCGTACTCAGCAGCCACTAGTCGGGAGTATTTCAATCATTTCCATTCACAAACAACTCCAGTAAGTATACATTATTCTTTTTTATTATTTGCGTTTAATCAAATATGTATTAATGCATAATAATAATGTAAACATTTTCTTTACACTTGGGGGGGCGTGCCGTCGTCCCAAACGACAAAAAACAAGAGAAACCTTAATTTCAGCGGCACCGAGACTCTAATACCCTTCACAGGAGCAATTTTTATAGCATAAAAAATCTTTATATTGATATTAATCGTTCAGCTTGTTTGCCAGCTATATGCTATAGTGATCCGATCTGAACAATATATTAGTAGATTTTTGTGCTGCCTTTGTCAAGAAGTCATGCTAAATAACGTGAAAATATCTTTTCAAATACAAGAGTTTTCTGTACAGGGTGGCAGGTGAAAGCCGCTACCAAAAAAAATGAAATAACTTTTTTTCTATTTAATGAATCTGGTTAATTTTTTTTTTTTATTTTGCAGATTGACTTTTACATTTAACAAAAATGGATAACTGGGACACTGAAACAAGAATTTGGATTGTCCGCCGCTATCACGCACTGGAGTCCGTAGTTTCGGTTCAAAGAGAGTATATTCGCACCTTTGGCGGCAATCCTCCGAGCAGATGGACCATAATGAGACTTGTAAACAATTTTGCCGAGCATTGGACAGTCAACAGAAGACCTTACCATCGAAACCCTTCAGTTCGAACGGAGGAAACAATCGCTGCTGTAGCTGCTGCCATACAAAACAATCCTCGTGTTTCGACAAGAAGCTTATCTGCTCAAATGGGTGTAAGCAGACAGTCATTACAGTCAATTATTCACGAAGATTTGGGCTTATTCCCATATAAAATTCAAATGGCCAAAAAACTGAACGCTGCAGACTTGCCGATTCGCTTGGAATTTTGCCAGAAGATGCTTCAAATGGTGGAAGAGCTTGGAAACATGTTGAACTGTCTTTTCATGTCTGACGAGGCCCATTTCGATTTAAACGCCAACATAAACAAACAAAATTGTCGAATATGGAGTGCTTTCAACCCACAGATACTCCATGAGACGAATTGCATCCACTTCGTGTCACAGCGTGGTGTGCAGGTTCATCACTCTGCATTGTCGGGCCCTACTTCTTCGAAGAAAACGGTCACACCGTTACGGTTACTGGAGATCGTTACTTGAGCATGTTGAGAGAGTTTTTCTATCCAGAATTACGCCGAATGAGAATTTCTTTCTACTCTGTGTGGTTTCAGCAAGATGGTGCAGCTCCTCACATAGCCCAACCTGTTATGACAGAATTGCGACGAAAATTTCCCAATAAGCTGATATCCAGAAACTCCACATTCCGTTGGCAACCCAGGTCGCCTGACCTTACTGCAACTGACTTTTTCTTGTGGGGTTTTTTAAACAGGAAGTCTACAAAGCAAAATCAACAAATTTGAAGGGTATCCATTCGGGAAACAATTGCGGCTATTCCTATCTCAACTCTCCAAGCAGTAATGAACAACTTTTTGGTAAGATGCCGCACATGCATCAACGAGCAGGGGGGCTTTTAAATTCCATTATTTTTAAAMCTAATTAAGCTATATTTAATAAAATTGAATGAGCTTTAACATTAATAAAAGAAAAATTAATTCCATACCTTGAAAAAAAAAAATTATTTGAGTTTCTTAATGTAGCAAAATTCATCAGCCACCCTGTATATGAATTTGATTTTGACGATCTTTTTGGCATCTATATCTTATAGTGGTCCGATATTGGCGGTTCCGAGTAAAAAGAAGTTTACATTTATGGGATCAATGACATCTTTGTTAACCTTTTATATAGCCTTCACCCCTTTGTTTACTTTTAACCAAGTTAACAGCATTTGTTTAAATTTAGCAAAGACAAAAACCTTCGTTTACATTTAGTGAGTCGCTTATATGATTTCATGTTTTGAGGTCAGTGACCCCGTTTTATACAATTCATGAGGTCAATGAATTTCTAAATTATTCAGATCGGACTACTATTGTATATAGTTCTCAAACACACTGCCCTATCAAAAACAAGTCCCTGCACAAACAACTTTTCACAAGATTTCTTCACACAATTTGGCACGGACTAAGCAACGCAACAATATTCGAGTCCTTTAGATTTAATTATTTTAGCATACATCCGTCATTCAAGCTGGCCGATAAAGTAGGGTTACCATATTCCCTGATTTTCAGGTAAATTCTCTGATTTTCGTTAAAATTCCATGAGTTTCGTGAAAAATCCCTGGTTTCTGCCTGAATCCCCAATTTTTTTTAAAATTATTATGTTTTTGAGCGAGTGCGTGAAAGAAATGAGGATCATAGCGTTTTAGTATACTTGGGCGTTTTGTATTTGCTCGCTAAGCGTAGGATGCATTTACATCAATCATGTGCGAGCTAAACTCGGTTGAGTTTTGGAACGCATACCATATGATATCGTCATCATACTTACATGTAAACCATCGCATGGAAATTCTACTGCATCATTTGTCACACACATGCCTCGACTCGAATTTACGGAATTTACTTAT